AAAAAAAATAAATAAAAAATAAATTCCGTACGGAATCGCCGATTCACTGTTCGGACTCGCCGATTCCGTACAGTGAATCGGCGATTCACTGTACAGATTCGTCCTGTTCTCTCTAGAACCGGACGATTTCCGATTTTATGGGCGATCCGGTCCCTTTTCACTATTTCCGAGTCGAACCGGGCGAGTCCGGTTCGACTCGGCGTTTTTTAAAACGCTGCTTCAGACAGATCCAAACCCGATCTGACAGGTGTGTGGGAAATAATCAGCCTCACCAATCTGTTTTTCAAAACATTGATCCAATTAATGGTTATCTAACTGCATTTGTGTATTTTTGCTATCATCCAAATAATGGTTATCTAACTTTGCCTCTTTTTACTCTCTCTCTACGTAATTATCCCTAACGGGATTTAGGGAAAAGGGGTGCTTAACTCATATGAAGAAAAACGGAGTCTCTAACCGTAGTTTGTAATTTGTAAGGAAAATTGTTTCATGCGGCGGGGACTGCATTTCTACAATTGCAATCGTATAAAGCATGATGCAAATAGGTGGTCCATATAAAATAACAGTCCAGATGTGTTTTTAATAGAATTATTATTTCTGATTTTTAAAATTACTTTATTTTTTTTAGGGTGTGTTTTATATAAGGCTGCAACTTTAAACTATCCAATGAAGACGAACCTCCAAATTCTATCATAACATGTAATTTTGGTGTAAATTGTTTTTTAGAATTATCTCAAAACCTATTTTCACATTTAATTATAAAATTTTAAACTCAAAAAATAGTTAAAATCAAATAGATCTATAAATATTTGGAATTCTTAAAAATAGATAGTTCAGATAATGTGTTGCAAGATGCCCTATTTCTTGAATTCAAACCTTTTTTTTTTTTTTGATATTCATACATCTCGATGTCGAGATGATCAATTAGAGGGTTTTCCAATAGTAAAACAATCGAACTTTTTAGGTGCATCTTTAATTCTACATTTTAAAGTTGCAACCTTATATAATTTTCTCCTTTTATGTTCATGATCTCTATGTTAAAGATTACATGTGCTTAAAAATTAAGTCCAAAAAGCCATTTCAAAAATAGATGCGAGTCATTTCTACATAGAAACCGTGTCCACAATTTGTAAACCGAAGAGTTGTGAAGCTAACAGCTTTGGGCTTGAGGGTTAGAACCGGTATGGAGTTTGAATGGATCACTAAATAAGAATTTTATAGTTTTTCTAACGCGCTGGATTCTAAATGGAAATGAGTTTGTGAAAAAAACTACCCTACAATAACATAGTTACTTTTGGTACACCTCATGCCATCAAATCTAAAATTTGATGACTAAGGTGTGACATGTCTTTAGGTAAAGATCGAGAAAAAATTTCTTTGATTTTGAGCACAATAAATGGTACATTTCTACCAACTCAATTTCACATTTGACAGATATGAGTGATTATGATTTTTTTAAATCTAAAGTAATTTTTATAGTACATTATCGTAAAAAGAATATCAAACTCAGCCTTAGACCCCTATTAATTTTATTTTCCCAATGGAACACGTAAAGGAGTGTGACTTGAATTTTACACCACTTTTATATTTCCTTTCCAATTTCCTAAAATCCTTCTCTCTCATGGTCTCTATCTAAACTCTCATTCCTAAACTCTAAAAACATAAATATCTATTTCATTTTTTACATATACCTATTGATGCACTAGCTCAAAGAATTAGCATCTATAAATCCTTGAACATCCCTTTTACATCTTATTCATATTATGATATTTAAAAAATAATGAAGTATACAATAAGGTCACTTACCTTTTATACAAGGTGGTCACAATTAATCTTGACAATTGGATGGATGCATTTATTTCATTGACGAAACTCAAAGTACAAATGAAAGTTTCTTGAACTCTATCACACACCCAAACTATTAAATTTCACATCGAATGGTTATAAGTAATTATAACCTCCTTATAGCTCCTTATAAATGGTCTCCTTGTATGCAATCCCTAAAAAAATAATCTATTATGGAGAAGAAATAGAAGAGCAAAACGTGAGCACTAAATAAAAATTTTGGAAAGGGACTCTATATACTCTTTATTCCTACCAAGTATGAGTAATTGAGTTTATCCAACAAAGGAAGAAATGGAAAGTAAAATAGTCATGCAAATCTTCTATATATAAAACACATGTAGGTTTGGCAACAAGTGTTTGATCAAGAAATTGTTTTTTGGTTAGGAGATTGGTTGGATAAACATTTATATTTATCATGTGCAATGTGATGATATATCATAAGAGAAATTGTAAAGAAACCCCAGAATTTTACTTTTTAGACAACTTCTCCCGACCAAGTTATTTTTAGTAAATTTTATCCTAAATTTAATTTTCTTAACAAATACCTCCAAGTAAAAAATAAATAAAATAAAAACCAAACTACCCTCCCTTAACCTCTGCCCCTTTCCACACCCCTCTCTCTCCTCTTTCCCACCTGCGGACCGTACCCATTATTTTACTCTCTTGAGACTTGAGAAGGACCAACCCACAAAGCATTCGCACTCTCTCGCTCTCTGTCCCCGAAGACCAGGGCTTGAGCTCCCTTCCTCTCTCTCAAAGGACCTACAGCCCAAGCTCTCATTCTCTCTGCAAATGGGTTTAGGACCGCGGTCGGTCCAGTAGCACCACATTGGCATCCAGCATTGGGTTTATTTACTAATCCGATTGTTTTTTACTGCAGTTACATTTTACGATGATGTGACGTGGGATTACTTAAACAAAGGTCTTTTGGTTCAAATACATATAACTTTTGACTTTGAGGTATTTGCTAAAAATGTATTTTTTGAGATAAAAATTGCGATACAAAAATTCGGTGGGAAAAGGTTGTTTAGAAAATCCTAATTGGGAGGTATATGCAATTTTCCCTATCTAGTAAATTCAAAAAAAAAAACAAAACAACTAATTGTGCTCCTTTAGGTATATTCTATTTCAATTGAAAAAAAGTTATATAATTTT